CCCCGCCGCCTCGGCTGGTCGTGCTTGTTCTCCCGCCGGCGCCTCGCCTTATGCTCGGCTCCCGCGGCAGAGAGCGGGAGAAAGTGCTGCTGGTGGGCGGCCGCGGGGCTGCGCGTGTCCGGCATCCCGGGGCCGCTGGGGCCCGGGCGGCGAAGGGTCCCGGCGGTCCATGCATCCGCCGCCGCCCGCCGCCGCCGCGATGGATTTCAGTCAGAACAGCCTGTTCGGCTACATGGAGGACCTGCAGGAGCTCACCATCATCGAGAGGCCGGTCCGCCGGAGCCTCAAGGTGCGCCCCGGGGAAGAGAGACTGCCCACAGGGCGACCGGCCGGCTTCCCGGCCCCCGGCCCCAAGCAGCTGGCTCTGACCCCCGCCCCGGCACCGAGCCCACCCACACCGTCCTTTCCCGACGCGGCCCGGGAACCTCTCACAGTCCCCCTCCTGGCCCCGGTCGCTGTGTCGCCCGCATTAGCCCCTCCCGGGGACCCCTCGACACGGCCGCGGCTCGCCCAGGCAGGACCCCTTCCCGAGGAACGCGTCCCTGGCCTTATGCCCTGACCCGGGGCCAGCCCCGCGGTCCCCGGCACCTGAGGTGTCCCCGGCCCCCTGAGGGCTGAATGGGAAGCCAGCCCTCGTCCCCGGTCCAGCCCGTCCGCAGGAACGGCCGAGCCTCTGTCATGGGGGCCAGCTGCCGCGTCCGCCCCGGCCGCCCGGCTCGGACCGCAGCCTCGGCCCCTCGGTCGCGGCCCCTTTCTCTGGCTTATCCCGGGGCCAGTGGGCTCCTGGGTACTCACGCCCCACCTTGGTTCCCCGGTGCCACCCGGTTCTGGCCCCAGGCCCATCCCTCAGTAAGCACAGCCCCGACGACGCCTCCTTGAGACACCCGATCCCACCCTCCATCGCCCTCCTTCTCCCCTATCAGAGCCAGCCCGGTTCCCGCTTGCCCCCAAGTCCGCCCGGGCCTCCAGTCACTTCCCAGAGTCGTCGTGGTCGCGGTCGTCAAAGCCCTCTCAGGAGGGGACTTTTTGCCCACATCGTGAGTCCCCGTACGTCCGTTTCCTCCTAGCCCCTCCAGCTCCACCTGAGACCCTGCTCCCAACCCACTCGAGGGAGCAACCCTTCAGCTAGCTCCCCACCCCCCACTTGCTCCCCACCCCGCAGAGTCATATTTCTTCAGCCTGGGAGGATCTAGACCTCCCCCTCCCCCCCCATCCTCTTAATAGCTCCTTTAGCTGTTCTCACTCCCACCTCCTTCACTCTCTCGACTCTGAGTGCCTTCCAACTCCAGAGTTTATCCCCTTCCCTGCCCCACTCCAGATTTCGTCCTTTTCATTCCCGCTCCGTTGCGGTCCTCATCCATCCCCCTTTTAGCATTTCCTGGGCTGGAAAATTCTGGAGAAACAGCCTTCGCTTATTGGAAATAAAAAGTGTGTATTTACTTTATATATGCATGTAACACCGGATTTCTGCAAGGTTCTGAAGCCACAATGTGGTTCTCAAGCTGCCATCTAGAAGCTAGAAGAAGAGTGATTAAAAAAAGAAAAAACAACAAAAACAAAAACTAAAACCAAACCAAAACAAAAAAACCCAAACAAACTCAACCACCCAAACTCAACAATTAGAGACATGATTCTCTCTGTTCAGGTCTCCTAGAATCCTCAGACCCTTGCTTAGTTTTCATTGATGAATGCTGAGTAGTGAAACTTTTTCATTGGTAGTATTCATAGAGGGTCACTGGTGGGCAAGACCGACCTGACTGTTTGTGTACATAATTTGTATTTTATACTTGACAGACACCAGAAGAAATAGAAAGACTGACAGTTGATGAAGATCTCAGTGATATTGAAAGGGCTGTTTACCTGCTCAGGTATTTCCTAAAGTCTTTCGGTGAAATTCTGCTCTTCTGACAGCACTGATGAATGCTTTAAATGAGATGTCATGTTGTTATGTTCAGATTTGCTTAACCATTTTGACAGAGTGCTTTCATATGCAAATCACTTAAATATGTTATAAATAAATTGGATTTAGGTATGGACATATGACTTTGAGAACTGAAATAAGAGACCCAATTTATAGAATACTGCTTGGAGGAGGGGGAGCAGAGCATTTTAAAATAACTAATGGCTTGAGTTGAATCTCATTTTTTTTTGGCTTTGATGGTTCTCACATAGGATTCAGTGAGTATAGATGAGACAAGAATATCCAGTGAGTAATTTTAAGCTCGTTGTACAATATGAAAATTAGATGCCATTTACTATTTAGAAAAAATACCCCAAAATATGGTAGTGTTGGAATTTGCTCCTCAGTGTATCCTATTTATATTACTTTTGCTGTACGAGCTTTATAATTTTGCCCGAGAGACTTGTTTTGTAATTGAGCCTACTCTCATTTAGGTTTCAAACTCTCTCAAGTTCTACAGAATTTTTTCAGGCAAATGATTACTGCAAATATTTACAAGATTTCTCTGGACTATTTTTAAAGTCGTGTAGTTGTGGATTTAGCTTCTTAAAGGTAATGCGGTGAACCTGAATGAACGTATTTATGAAAACACTTAGGAAATAAATTTTCCTAAGGCATTTTGTGTACATTTGCTTTAAAAATTTTCTTAAACTGGTGTAAAACTTTTTTCCTCTTTTGACAAATTAGTCTTCACTTTTGTTTTTCACAATCAGATTTTGGAAACTTTATTTACCTTCCAAGATATTTGCCATCCTTGTTTCCTTGGCTTAGGTCTACTTTGCCAGTTTCAGGTGTTGGCAAGTTTTTTGTTCTCCTTTCTGGTTTATAGATCATGTTTCTAGCCCCATGTGGTTATGTTCAGATTTGCTTAACCATTTTGACAGAGTACTTTTGTATGCAAATCACTTAAATATGTTATAAGTAAATTAGATGATTCTGTAAAAAAAAAATTCCCACTCTATGACCTCCATTTTCCTAATTAGTCTGCTACTGGCATCTTGAGTGTCTGTTCTTACTTTAGTCAGAATGCTAGCATACTTATTTTAGGCCATTCCTTCAAATAATTCTATTATTTCAAAGTGTTTCTGGATCTTAGACCTTTTCTTGATGTTTTTTCCCTTCCTTAGGTGATCTATGGTAACATGGTATCATCACTTCTACCTATTTATTTAAAGAAAACTCTGTAAATTAACAGTATGTGTTTTTTGGTGTTTACTTAGAGAATAATCCAACTTTTAACTTACTTTGGTATTGCACTGTTTTATATTTGAAGTGCTTTATTTCTCAATAATTAACATGTTTAAATGGCAAACAATAGTTGTCAACATTTTTCTTTTCCCACAGTTCTTCTACTCTGAGTAGATAGACAATTGATGTAAGTTTGGATAAATTTCTTTTAACATACAGCAGTTAATGATGTGAAATAACTTTCTACTGAATTCTTTAGTTTAAACACTGGTGTACAAGTAGGAAATGGAAACTCTTGCTCCACTTACTTGTGATAGCAGATACCTTATTCTAGGTATCAGTGACAGAGCTGCTTTTTTAGGATAGCTTATTTGCTTTCTATTTTGCTTTTATTGTTTGTAAGTGAACCAGGTCGTCTAAGTTGTATCTTTATTTCTCAAACACAACATACATTTCTCCCAGTGCTGGAACTTACAATGCGCTTATAGAGAGAGATGGGCACTCTCATTCTTAGAGGAGAGTTTTAAAAGAGATCTGGTATCTCCTTTAATTTCTTGTGGCTCACCTGCCTTGAAGGAGGCTTGCAAGGTGACTCAGAAGGTGAACACTGGTTTGGTTGTGTATGGGTTCTCCAGCTGAGTTCTTTTGTATTCCTACCATCTTACCACTGTCTTCGGGGAAAGTGGGATTTCACCATTTGGTCAGCTTCTGCAGGGATGCTGCCAAGCCTGCCAGAAAGGTCCTTTCTTCCCTATGATTCAGGGGCCAGGGTTGTCTCATAGCCCTGTTCCAAACTTTGCCTCTGTTAAAGCCTCCTCATCTGCTCTCATGTATTGTGCTTCTATTTTAAATTTAATTTATCCCCCCCACCCCTTTTTTTCCATTTGTATTTCACAATGCTATGGAACCTAATGCTGGGTCCTATTTGTTTTTTCTCTTTTCATGATTTGCAGGTTTATTTTTGAGTGCTTAACCTTTTCTCTGTATTGGATATTTAATTTAATATTCAGTTTTTTTCCTTTCTGCTTTTGTGTGTCAGATTTGTTTAGTTTTCCTCTAATTTTGCATATTAAAGACTATTTTGGAATATTATGTTAAATTAGAATTCATGGCCAAGTGCGTACGCATCAATAGGAAATGAAGGCTATGATAGTGTTTAAATTAAATCTGACACCTAAAGAAGTTTTATATACAAAGAGTCCTGACATTCAGTGAAAAACAAATGACACTGTTCATTATCTTGCCCTGAAATGTGACAGGTCAATTATTAATCCTATTTTCATAATTAAGTTTAGAACATTATGGTATTTGAAGATTTGACACAGATGAATTTGTGGTTTTGCATAAATGTGATGCTGCTATACCCATCTGTGGCATTTAGCACTGAAGCAAAACAACTTTCCTAATAGTCACAGCTTGTGGCTTAGTCAAAATCACATTACAACATCTTTTTCCTGTTCTCTCTCTTCTCTGTGATTTTGGCATATATTTTAGGAATATGCTTAAAATATGTGATTAATTTTATTAAAGAAGTGTTCTAAGTGTGTATACTGTGCTTTCATTAGGTAAATCTTTATTCATCTATCTCTAATTGCCTACCAGATAAATCCCAGACTCTTAAGCCTGGCATTCAGAACTTTCCATAAGTGACTCCATCTAAGCTGTGCAATGTGATCTCCCACCAGTCCCTCACTATTTTTAACGGCTTTATTTGAGTTATAATTCACACATCTCACCCATTTAAAGTGTACAGTTCAGTGGTTTTTAGTATATGCACAGAGTTGTGCAACTATCACCACAGTCAATTTTAGAACATTTTCATTACCCCAGCAAGAAACCCCATACCCGTTAGCAGTCACTGCTCATTTCCTCCCAGCACCTCCAACCTCTTCCAGCCTCTGCGAACCATTAATTTACTTTCTGTCTCTATAGATTTGCCCATTCTGGGCATTTCATGTAAATGGAATCATACAATATGTGACCTTTTGTGACAGGCTGCTTTCATTTACCATAATGTTTGTAAGGTTCATCCAGGTTGTAGCATGTACCAGTACTTCATTAGTTTTTATGGCCGAATAGTATTTCAGTGTATGGATATACCACATTTTGTTGATCCATTCATTAGTTGATGGACATTTGAGTTGTTTCCACTTAGTCGATCTCTTTTTGAAGCAATCCTGATGGCCTCCTCACTGTTTATCAGATACATTGTGCTCATCCTTAACTGTGCTTTTTCCCCATCTTGAAATACCCTTCCATTACACCTGTCCGACCTTTACTCATCCCAGCTGCAACCTTGCATGCTTCGTAAGACCTTCCTCAACTGCTGGAACCACACGGATCCCAGGCTTCTCTGAGCTCCAACTTTACTTAGTGGCTGCATCCCTCAACTGGTAATAATCACTGCTTTGCCTTCCTTAACGTGTGTGTACTTTTTCTCAAATAGGTTGCAAGCCTCTTGAAGGGCAAACCATATTTTATGTTGTTGTTTTTTGGTTCTTTCTTGTTCTTTGCTGTGATATTAATATATAGCTTTTAACGGAATGAAGCATATTTATTGATTTAAGATGGCCAAAATGCCAGATGAATTAGGCAACTTCTGATTTTTGTATGGTAGGCAATATAGACTTGGATTATATTTGATTCTACTTGTTATTAATCTGTTGTGACATGGGCAGGTTCTTTGTGGTTGTTGAGCTCTGGTTTTCTCAGTTGTCAAAGGGAAGTAATTCCTATTTCCCAGGGTTGTTGCATTATGTGTAGAGCACCTGGCACATACTACCCAGTTAAGGATAATTCCCTTACTCTCCTTTCCCCTTTTCCTACTTCCTTCCGAATGAGGTGCTCAAAGTACATTTCAAGCATAACGGTATTAATTTTGCCTTCCAATAATTTAATAATGCAACAGGCAGGCAAGTAAATTAAATCAACTAAGTTTGTGATAGATAGCCATTAACTTCCCTTGCTAATAGTGTTTGTCAGAAACCAGAATCTTCAAAAATTACAATTAAGCATTTTTAATTGAGTGATAATGTCAGTCTTACTATTGACCTGTTTCACAGGTTTAACTTTTCTTACCAAATGAACCTTATCTTAAGAAGCGATGTTTGCTATTTACATTGTGTATTAAAATGTGCTGATTGGTTAATGTACCTACCTTTCATGTTGCTTCTTTTAAAGTCACTTGTGACTTTTAAGCTATTTTGCACTTTGCCTTCCAGGGGCGGTCAGGTAAAGTGCATCTTTAGTTAGGAGCATTTCCTCTTTTTCTTTCTCCTCCCATTTTTTTTTAGGAGTAAGTGCTCCCCCTAGTGACACACAGAGTGAGATTTCTGTAGCCAAAACTGGAAATTAAACAAAACTGCAATAAACTGTGACTGTGTTGCTTATCCAGTCGGAGAACTCTGGCATCCCTCTTCTTGTATTCAAGACTAGAAGACTAGAACAGGGTAGCAGTGAGGTAGCAAGGAAGAGCTGCTGTGATTAGTCCTGCTACATGGCTCTCTTTTGTTTTATGTTCCAAAAGGCCTATCCTATTTGCTATCCAAAATTGAAAAATGGTGTGCAAACTCTTTCATATGCCCTTACTATTTTTTTTTATTGTGCTTTAAGTGAAAGTTTACAATTCAAGTTAGTCTCTCATACAAAAATTTATACATACATTGTTATGTGACCCTAGTTGCTCTCCCTGTACTGTGACAGTACACTCCTCCTTTCCAC